TCTTTGTCTGACGAGTGCATTAACAGCAGTTTTTTTGTTGTTTAGTTGACAGTGCCAATAGTGTGATGGAGACTTCATAGAGAATAATAAACAACCACACTCAATTCATCAGTCCATTCATGCACTGTAATGGCAGGACCTCTTTGTGTGGGCTGATTGAATTTGAATTGAGCCCATTGTGCTGAAACCTCATTCCCGTGGATGCTTTTGTCCCCACGCCCCTCCTCCTGCCTCCCTTTTAGAGACAGCCGCTGATTTAGACTGTTTCCCAGGTAAGCAGGTGTCACATCTATTTCTGAAGCTAGCATACAGTTCGGTGATCACGCTCCATAGATAGACCAGATGTCCCTGTTTGAAAGATAGAGAGAGCCTCCCATGGCATTCGTTACATTTATCCTGGCACCAGATGACAAATAAATGACTGTGCTTGTAACGCTGAGGCAGAGGCCTGCTGTAAACTGGTGATGAGAGCATAGCAGCTAGATAAGTAAATCAAGACCCGGAGGAAGTGGAGCATTTAATTGCTCTGAAAGACGTGTCGTTGTGGGCTGTGAGGCTTTGTGGGGCCTGTCATTTACAGTACGATGATTATGAGGTGTGTTTGCTTTGACATGTTAATTCCTTAAATAAGAACATTGTTATGTAACAGCTCAGAGATCAGTCATGGGGTTTGTTTTCCTCCATATTAAGTCTAGCAAAGGCTCGGTGACAAAAGCCAACAAGACCAAATGAAATGACAAAATACATTGTTTGCAAGTGTCCCTTCAGGGGGACAAAATTACGAAATGTGGAATAATCACTGTTGGAAACATAAGTCAGTTTTTATGACTTGACAACACTGTGGTTAAGGACAAATCTGAAGACAAGCTGAAAGTACACAGCCTGGACAAAGCACACATAAAAGATCGTTTCCACCGACTCGGTCTTTGACAGTCAGGAAAGAGCACGAACCAACAACTGAGGAAATATACTAGACAACACACTGACGACTGCCCAGTAACGAACGCTACTGAGTTCTGACAGTACAAGACCCCACAAATCCCATCTGTCATTGTGTTCTTGTATCACAACAAACAGAGACACAGCACACAGCAGCTTGCACTTTATGTGCAGTGCAGTTTGTGGTGAAAAGGCCAAAAAAGGAGGGAAATGGAAGGAATGTAGGGCCAACAGAGGGAACTGTGTGTGAGTGAACTAAAACAAAGCCAACTTCAGGTTAAAGCTGTTTGTTTACCAATATGTCTCCATCGGGTCACACACATCAGTTGCAAATATTTTACATTATCATGTTTAATCAGGTCATACACACTTTTTATCTGCTGACTGTCAACACCAGGACCCACTCCAACTATGCTTCGATCAGTCGTAAAATGATTCCCATAATCACCTCAGCAGTTGGAGTGAGTGTGTCCTGGTCATTAAATATAGACATAAACACAAACTTTGCCAGCGTTCAGAAAACAGTGTTTGGGTTCAAATAAGTACTTTGTTGAGGCTCTGTAATAGCATCACACAAATTCAGAGCTGCAACGATCAGTCTGTCGACAAAAAAGGTGAGAATTAGCTGCTTTTCTCTGTTTGATATCAATGTGAACTGAAGATTTTTGGGTGTCAAAACAGAACACGTCAGCGTGCACTACAGGAAACTGTGATCAGCCCATTTCACAATTATTTTTTATTTCACAGTGATTAAAAAAAAAAAAAAAAATTATCAATACTGAAAGTAATTGTTAGTTGCAGTCCTACACTACTTCCTCCTTCGCTTCTGATGGACAAGAGTCATAATTTCTACAGTCACTACAGAGCTTCGTCACATGAATGTAAACAAATGTCGTCTGAGGACGTGGGAGGACAGTCTGTTAAAGGCAGTCTACAATAAAGAAACTTGGCCTGCATGGCCTGACTAGACTAAACCATATTAGAGTGTGAAGTTTCTCTGAGTCAACACTCAAAGGCCATTTTGGTTATGTATTGAATATGATTATTCTCTCTCAAATGAAAAGAGAAAAAAAAAATCCCTAAAGCAAAATTTCCATTTTGTGTTCCATTTCATGTTGTACCTTAACATCGCTCAGGGCAGTGGTAGAAGTTTTCTAAATGATAAAAGTGGAACTATCTCCCAGCCATTATGTGTACAGTTCTACAGGAAATAATAATTAATGAGTGACTCATATAATTTGGAGCAAGAAACTAAGTGTCTTATATTAAGCCTGCATGAGAGAAGTTTTTCTTGGTTTTGTAAATTTAATTCATCCGGGGTATGAAAGAAGAAGAAACAAAAAGACTCTACTTACCCTTCAAAGATTTTTTTTTTTCACTTCTATTTTACTATTCAAAGCCATGCTAGCTAATGGATTACCTCATCCTCCAAAAAAGCTGTTCAATCTCTCTGTGATTGTATAATTCTCTTTCATCTTCAGAGGGGAGATGGAATGATTAAACAAAGAGCATGCTGATATCCATGGCTGCTGTTGACATGCGACTTAAGATGTGCAACACTCCCATTAAAAAATAATGTGGACTTTGCACATGGACTGCCTTTCCTTTACCCTGTATGCTAAGTGTATGATAATCGAGAATGTACAGTAATGATGGTCGACATTTCAGTACGTTTTCCTGAATATATTTCAGTAAAATGGAGCGCAAAACAAGCCGTTTTCTTTTGGAGCTCTGCATAGCTCTCATTGTTTTCAACATGTAGAAGCTGTTGCTCAGTTTTAGTGTTGACATCAGTGGATTTATGTGGTAGGAGAAGGCCAATATGCAGATTTGCAGTAGCTTGGGCTTTGTGGTGTTAACATAACATGCAGCATATGAAAATAAGTCATTGTAGTGCTGGTCACATACTTCATTATTAATGTAATGCAATTGGCTGCAGTCATATGCAGATTTTCTGCAATGCTGTAGACTACAGAAATGATTTTGGGCTGCTGAGTGCGATACAATGCACACACACTGTCTCTCAAGAATGTTCTTCCACAAAGGTAACTATCACAGCCAGTTTTCTAGGCCAGCATTTTGATGCATTGTTTTGTTTAATCCCGAAGGGGAGGAGGTAAGGATTAATTTGTTGCATCTGTCAGACCCATGCTGGCACCGCTGATAGTGTCCATGCCAGTATGAGGCTTTTCCCTCTTGTCCTCTCTTGTAGCCACTGAACCCCTTTTGTTACACTGCCAAAAGACCTCTTTCAACTGAATCTACACATTTCTACTGTGTCAATGTTGTACCCCTTTGGCTTTGGACCCAGAGTGTCTCCTCTGTATGCGAGTTCCAAGCCCTTTTGGATCCCTCTTGACCTGTACCCTCCCAGTGCTCCCACTGGATGTGATCCAGGTCCACGGTTCATGAGGTCAGGTGCATTGATTTGACACGGGAATGCGAGTGTGAGCTTGTGCAAACAGCTCATGAGTTTCTAATGCTGTGTGGCATACAGCCATCACATATATGTGAGTCATAGGCTTGCGTGCTGCCTGCAGACTTATAAGAGAATGCAATCATAAAACTCTGTGTTCACACTTGGTAGATTATGTTAGTGTTTTCACAATCTAAGACTTCCACATGATGCCTCCTCTGTAGTTGTCATTTTAGCTGCTGAGTTCTATTAACTTTATTTCTAAAATTGCTGTTGCCCTAAAACAAAAGCAGTGGTGGATATTTTGATAAGAAATTGAACATTTGTGTTCCATGTGGGATGGAGCTACACATTTAAAGATAGCTAAACTGCCGTTTCAAAAACATTGACTAATTGTTTGTGCAGAAGTGGAAGAAGCACTTAAAACGTAAAAGTGAAAGTACAGAACTATTGACAGAAAAATTTACTTCTGTACTAGGTATCAAAAGTAAAAAGTACTCACTATACACAATATAGCCCCTGTCACTTATTTGGGGAAATTATGTGATCATATTATTATTATTATTATTATTCATGCAATAACATGTAAACAGAGGTGTAATGTAGGTGGCCTAATATATGGTTAAGTAATGTGCTGGGTAATTTAACCTGGACCACAATCTGGGAGTTGTGGTCCATTGGGGGTTGGCGGTCACAAGGCAAATCCGAGGGAGCAAGAGTTGATCAATGCAGAACATTCGTTGCTGTAATCAACTGGTTTTATCTATGAAAAGGAATCAGATTTTATTTGCTGATCATATGTTTTGTTTGTGGAATCATCTGCAAAGTAAGTAGCAACTACAGACATCCAACAAATGAAGTGGAATCAAAGGTAGATTAGTAGCAATTAGTAGTAGTAGCAAATGAAATACTTTACAATATTATATATGTACCTTATAATATATTAAAGTACTTCAGTAATTGCTCTCTGAACTTCCACCACTGCTACTGTGTAGTAATGTTTTCGTTAAAATCACTTTCTTGGTGCGCATCTGCACACACACTTCTCCAATATTGTAAATGGGTTCCGAACAACCCTAGAGGAAATATGAAAGCAAAGACACAGACAGAGGAATTAAAAAGGCAAGTAAATAGATTTAGGATTTAAGTAGCTTTTTGCAGCCGTGGAGATTTCTAAAACCCTTGAAGTATTGCCATGAGTTAGACAAATGAAGAAAAGAAAACAAACTGCAGTCCAGAAGTAGTTGTAAGCTTACCTTTTCTGTGGACTGTGAAGTGCCAAAGAAGATTGGGATGAATGCTAGCCAAATAATGCAGGTGGTGTACATGGTAAAACCAATTGGTTTCGCCTCATTGAAGGTCTCCGGCACCCCTCTGGTTTTAATGGCGTAGACTGTACAGGTGACCATGAGCAGCATGCTGTAGCCCAGCAGGCAGATCAGAGACAGGTCAGAGATATCACACTTGAGCACACCACGAGCCAGCACTGGGTTAGACGTCCTCTGGTCCTCATAGTCAATAATGGCCTTGGAGGGATCTACGCCAAACCAGATGCACACCCCGAGCAGCTGCACTGAGGCCAGGGTGAACGTGATGACGAGCTGGGAGGCTGGAGAAATGAATCTTGGCGCACTCACAGACATGGTGCCCTGCTCAAAGATGCGATAAATACGATTGGTTTTGGTGAGCAGGGCAGCATAACTGATGCTCATCCCCAGACCCAAGAAGATCCGGCGCAGGGAGCAGATTCCTACATCAGGGGTTGAAATCATCAGGAACGTTGTGGCATAACAGAGGAAGATGCCAGTCAGCAGCACATAGCTCAGCTCTCGGCCTGATGCTTTCACAATGGGAGTGTCGTTGTGGCGGATGAACGTGACCACCACAAATAAAGTGGCCATGATGCCGACGACTGCAATAAGCACAGGGATGACTGCCCATGGAGAGCTCCACTCCAGCTTAACAATGGGGATTGGAACGCAGCCCGTGTGATTTTCATTGGGCCGCAAATCAAAGCGACACATCTTACATGTGTAGGTGTCCGCCTGGTACTGATAACCATCGCACCGTTCGCAGTGCCAACAGCAAGGGATGCCCTTTACGATCTTCTTGCGCTCGCCGGGCTGGCAGGGCTGGCTGCAGATCGAGGAAGGGATCTGGCGGACACCGCCGGGCCACTGCATTGAACGAACCTGCGACGGAGGAAGGGGGAGACACGGATAAACATGAATGGACGCAAAGACGGATGAGATTTGTACTAAGCTGTCTATATCCTGGAAAATAGGTGGCATGTAGAGGTAGTGATACTTTACTGATCCCAAAAAATCCTCAGCGTCCTTGGAGGTCAAGGACAATCTCGACAAGCTCCTATACTACTTGGTTTTATCTATTTATTCGGGTGGGGTTGCGAAGGTCAATCTAGGGGTCAAGTGAAGCGCTCCTCATGGATTCAGCAAGATTTTCCAGTGGGAGGTGAAATTATCTGAAGGGCAAGGCAGAGGAGGAAAGGGGAGACCCACTGCTTGCTCTGCAGGGGACTGACAGTTTTTTGTTTTTTTTTTGTATGTAGTTGTTTGTGTTAGAAATCAATACTCTGCTGTCTTTGATCAGAGGAATGAAAGATAAACTTTCTTTAATGTTACGTTATCAGTTTTATTCAATTGTGGCTGTTCATCCGAAGCCGGTAAATTTGTCTCTAAAAGTGCATTTAATTAAAAACTCAAAGAACACTAATTAAACACAGCCAGCTTTAGAGACAGAACTGGCACGTTCCACAGTAGGTGCCCAACACAAATCTCGCTTTTTTTCTTTTCTTTTTTTTTTTTTTTTTCCATAGCACATGTTGTTGCAAGAAGTAAAGAAGACAAAGCTCCTCTCAAGCTTCTTCATGTGTTCCATTTTACTCTTTCTCCTGCCCAAGGCCTCCTCTTCATTTTGTCAAAACATAATTTGTTTGGTTCCTTTATGTAATTTACTGTTATAATACCGTTACTTCATCACACCCCCTGCCCACAGTATTGTTTTTGGGAGTCAGTGATGCCGTCTGGAGAGATTATATTAAATATGTCTGTCCTTAAGCTCTCATAGCTTTCTTTTCATCACAATCCGCCCTGTTAATCATTTAAAGCGCCCTCTGGATATTTACACCTTTGAAGATGGCATTAAGCGCTATCAAATGGTTTTGGATGTGTTAGTGCACAAACATGCAGCTGCAGAGCCGGAGAAAACAACTTTTCAGGGAAGGATTTTCATTGCAAACACTAAAACAAGCATTACACTTGAAGGATGAATGCAGTCAAAGCTTTTGTGCTTTTGTGTCTATGTGTGCATAGAGGAGACAGAGCAGTACTTACGTTAAGGTGGAGCTGATCTGTCCAGTGGCCGATGATTTTATATTCAGCAGTCTTGTTTCGGATCTGGTACTGGTAGATCTCGTAGCGACCGGGGGCATCACCATTTTCGTTGAATAGCACAGGGTTGCCAGCTATGCCTAAATGAGGGAACAATCATCATCATCTGCTGCACAAGGCTGAATGGTTTTCTGTGCAAGTATGAATCTGTCAAAGAATACTAATGTGCTGTCATTGTTATTGCAGTTATCATGCTAATCTATTAGAAACCAATATGATGTTTGTGAATCTATAACATTTTTTTTCTTTGTCTTTCTAATTTGAAGACATTCTCAACTGCTGTGGCTGATGGAGATGTTTCCTCATGACAACACATATACACTAAGAATTATGGTCATGTTGGATGATTCTTGAGCGCGAGATTTCAGAGACAATGCAGGAAGTACTGTTTCCATTGTGTTGCAAGGCAGAAACTATGTGGAGTGTGGAGCGTGGCATGGTGAATGCACATGGAGCGTGTCTGACTTTCAAGCTGTGACAGACCAACAATTAATGTTGGTTTTTCCTTCCCTCTCAACCGTGACCACGATCTCACCAAGCGTGGTTCCAGGTTCATTGCTCACATATCCGATTTGTGTCACAGTTCAAATATAGTGTGGTATTTTGCTCATTGATGATCAGCCAGTCATAGCTTTGCAGGTGTAAATTGATGCAACTTAGCTCAACCAGACATGTTTGATACTAGCTAGTTGAACAACCCCTTGACATTGCATTGTGTTGAGTTGAGGAGTGATGGATGAGAGGCTGGTGTCTATTTCTGTGCTGCCATAATATCAGTCATACAGTTAGCTTGATACAGTCAACTAATAACAAGCACTCTCAGGCATATCTCTCATTAACTGTCATACTTACACAGCCACCAGTGGCATTTATTTACTGAGAGAGGGTGTCTGGGAGTGACTAAACCTACATTACTGGATATATGACAAATGGAATCACATATTGTACAAACCCTGGTGGGATTAAGAATGGAAATGCCATCTTCCGGCATCGCTAGCAAGTTACATACATGAAAAACACACAGAACTGCTGCAAAAATTACGACAAAGACCAACGCAGCCGTACAAATTGTTGTAGGTTGAGTAACAAAAATAACGACTCGAGAATCTGCGAATTTCTTTGATCGTAGTGAAAACTGAACAAGCAGTATCTTAGCCTCCATGAAAACCGAAAGTGACACTAGCAGGACAGATACATTACTCACAAGTAATTGGATAGGGCAAAACAAAACCCAGCACCAGACATATCAGCATAGACATGATGTCAAGCTTTATGACTGATTTGAAACAAAACAGTAGTCCAGGTTGGATATGGCCCTCACCTTAATGGAGTGGTTTTCTTTTGTTCACCTTAACAACACTGTAGAAATATTGTTGGAAGAAATCATCAAATTATAAAATGACATACGCAGACCCAGTTGTTGGCTTTTGCAACCAGCTCTGTGTTGCTTGCCACTGAGCAATGTCCATTAATCTGTTACAATCTGTGCCTCCAAAGGACATAGAAAAACTGCCTTTGAACAGCTGGATTTCCCCAGGAGGTCCAGGGGTTGACGACTGACCCCTGCCTGACCTCACACACACACTTTTCCCACCATTCCTGCTGTCAGCCCAAGGTGTCCTCTGCTTTATCACTGTGATAACAATGTATTCCTGTGTGCTGTTTTTAAGACAAGCTGTAACGACGTGTCACAAAGAAAGCACACCAAAGATTTCTCTGTGAGCTTCCCAATGGAAACTCGATGAGCCACACATCCAGCGCAGCAATCCGTTTAATCATGGTGGAATGTGGAAAGGTCCTCCTCAGAGGGAGGACGAGGGAACTTCATGTCTAATTGCTTTTCGCATCAACTTTCACAAACGTCTATACCTTCATACACTGATGAAAGCTTTAAGCCCCTGTGTTGTTTTTTTTCTTTGTGTGCCAAGGCTGGTTTATTATTAAGTCCCCTAAAACACAATGAGCATCCCAGTTAAGAACAAAAGGGTAAACGTGTCCAATTGCTGCTGATGGATTTCTGCTGATGAGTATTTTTTTTCTTGCTCTTTGTTTCAACGTTGGAGGATGCAGCGCCCTAATCCACATCTCGATGAGTCAGCCCCGCTGGATTACGGCATTACCTTTTTACTCAGCATCGCCTGTGTGACAATGCCGCCCACATCACAAAGCAGTTAGTGATCATGGGAGGATTATGGTGACTTTATGAAGGAGAGAGGCATTATGTTTATATAAATATATTAAGCGCATCTATACTGTTGATAAGCTGTTCATCTTTTCTATGAAAGATTTTAATCGTGCCCGACTTTTTTCCTCTTTCTTCTTGTACTCCAATTTCCAGAGTTTTTAAAAAGCGCTTTGAAGCTCTCTGCTTTTCACTGTCACAGTTAGGGTAATGTGCTCGAGCCTTTAAGTGCTCGTATGGACACCACTGTCACTAACAGAGGAAAATGGACCATGAATCCCACACTGGTGGTTTGGAGAGAATAATGCAGTAACACTACCAGCATTAACACTGCTGATATGATTATATTAACAGCTTCATGGGTCCTTTGGTCGTGCTTGCTTTTCTAAGACCTTCCACAGATTGACAGCTCTTTTACAGTGGCTTCGAGCTACTGTAAATATGCTCACACGCATTATACCTGTTATCACTGCTCATATATAACATACATGTTTAAGTCCGAAAGATTTCAGTATTGATTTGTTTAAAAATCTTTTTGTAATATCACTTTAAAGTCTAGTTTTTATTTTTGGACTATGTGATTTACATATAATCAAAGAGGTTGACGTGCATGTTTTTTGCTCTGGGTTTTAGTGCGTGTGTAATAATTCAAGATATGAGCCTATTTTACTCCTGTACTTACTGTTGTTTAGGTCCTTGTATTAAAAGACTTATTAATTAATTTGACAGCACGTTCCAATCCTGTATTTATGAAGATCCTATATTTATCAATGTTGTAATCAATGATGTTTTTAATAAATCTTTTTCATCTGTTACAGGTTGATAAAGACTGTTGTTCAATCACCACTCTAATCACGAGACTTTCTACTTTGCTACGCCAGATTTTGGATACGTCTTCCCCTGGAAAAATCTTTATCACAAGTAAAGATTTCTGACAGCAGTTTCATATAAATCAGGAATTGAACACCATCATGAATTTCCCTTAGGGGATAAATAAAGTACGTATCTATCTATCTATCTATCTATCTATCTGCCTACCAGACTGATCACGTTGTTGTAATAGGGGGTCATTTCTAAGAAGTGCAGCTCATCATCAAGCAGTCATGTGTGTGTTACCTCTGTAACAAAAAGGGACCTTTCTCAGCTGCAGCCTGCATGTGACAGTTAGACATTTTTCTGCACTCTATTATTTTTTATTTTATCTTGTCACAGCTGAGTGGGTGGTCTGTTTTCTGTCAGGACAGCAAAACAACTACAGTAGTTCCTTCTAATGCAACTTTTAACATTTTTACATTTTGACACATGAGAGGTAACCAGATGGCGTCGTCTGCAGGCGCAGCACATCATGCCTCTCTGTTAATAAGCATAGTGGGGAAACAAAATAAAAGACAAATCTGGCATCTTCTTAAGGCACTGTGACTTCCCGGGGGGCTGTCGTTCCTCCGGAGGCAGTGGTGTGTCCTCTTCATTAAGAGTGAAGAGAGTGGTGCATTTTGGGGCAGTCTGGTCAATGTTTGAGCTGCAGATGAGGAATTAGACCTGTCATGTGGCACAAACTACTTGTCTAAACAGTCCTCTCACAAGTCAGGGGCATAATGAGTTCCTCAGAGGCCACTGCCACCGCTGCATTGTGCTGTGCACTAATGTGACGTGTGTGTACCACGGGCTACTTGTTTGCCCATTGCTTAGTATGCTCTCAAAGAAACGCTGGGGTTAATGGAGTGCTTGTAATTACACGTAATATTTAATGATTGTGGTATTGCCCTCCCCCTCCCCCTTCCAGCACACATACACACCTTAAGAATTACCAGAGTGTGATCATTAATCCAACATGTGCTTGTTCTGCATGAATGCACAACCAGGACACCTTGGTTGAATGGCAGCACAGCTTGTTGACCTCTGCACCGGTCATTAACTCTTAATGACCTGTACGTAGGCAAAGTCATGCAGAATTTACCACGGATCCACTTCATTTTTGAAGTGTGTCTTTTCTGACCCTCCTGCCACTGTCATGACATTTGCATGATTACTTAATCATAGTGTATCAGCGTCTGCTCCCTACAAGTGCTCTCACACTGGGCTTCAACTCTTGAAACGTTCAAGTGGCGATCAAATAAATAAATAAATAAATAAACCTGTATCATTCAGTCAAAAGGTTTACTCAAACAACGACAATACATTTAGCTTTACAAAAGGAGAGAATATGGATATTGCGAAATACTGTTAATTCTCACAAAAAAAGATGATATTTGAATAATGGCTGGGGCTCCTATAATAGCCAATATGAACAAATAAAGGGCAGGTAAAACATTACAGAGGAGTGGAATTACCAGTATTCTAATAGCTACCATGGCAAATTCAGCATAATGCACATTTCCACAGCACTAATTCCATCAGTACAGCAACAGTCATGTCACACTCACCACTCAGCTGTAAATACTTTCTCTTTTAAAACACAGACAAACTGCTTTCATTATTTTCCAACTGCGTCTCTGCCCCTTTTGTGAGCACGGTTCAGTTACTACCACTACAACTCAACAGATCGTGCAGATGTTTCAAAATCAGAGCCTACCAGTAATGGAATGGATTATGCCCTTTGAGAAACTGAAAGGCGTTTAATGCTAAACGAGTGCAAAAGAAGTGTTGAGTTTTATTGATAATGACTCAACTTGTGCTCCAAAAATCAGCAACTGGAAACGAGTGGAACTAATAAGTGAATGGAAACAGTATTTCTGTTAGAGAAGAGTAACTCAGAACAGCAGAGAGGTGAATAACATGGAGAGAAGTGCTGTGCAAACTGAATTTATCAACACAACAGCTAATAATAGATGAACAGATTCTTTAAAGTCAGTCACTTGTTTAAGTTTTGCGATAAAACCATTGAACAGTGCGACATGCCAAAACGGAGTGTAACAGTAGCACAAGTAGAGATGAGTCATGAAGTCTGACTCAAACTGACTCAGTAATATCAGCTACACAGCAATACCTAAAGCTAGCCAGACAGACCACAACAAGTCAGGCTGTGGCAGTACTGTAAGTGAGTACGGGTACATTTTATTCTTTTTGCATTTAACTTTTCTTCTCTAAAAGGACTGCTCTACTTTTTTCTTTCAAAAGTGACATATTTGGGGCACCCAGTGGCCTAATGGTTAAGGCACATAGCACATAACAAGAATGGCCATTGTTCCCTTTATTTCCTGTCTCCTTCTATATTTTCAACTATCAAATAAAGACAAAAATGCTAAATAGTAACTTAAATAAAGTTACATAGTCTCACTTTAATAGCATGTTAAATCAAGAGCAGGTCATGAGAGACCATAAATCTAACCTTAAACCAGGGTATCTGCAGATTAACTTTTAATTACATTTTCTTCTTTCATTTAAGGCCATAAAATGTCTTACTTTGAATTTTGAGAAGTCTAAAATTTTGAGGTGACGCCTGGACCCATGAGAAATATCATATCAGCCCATGTGGATTGAACGCTATTGATTTATAGTTTTATCTACTTCTGTTGTCTAAATTAAGGATTTCCAGCAAATTGTAGTGAAAAGTTGCCATAATTAGTTATGATAGGTTTTGTTGTAGATGTGTGAATAGTTCTTGTTTCACATAATGCATCATACTGCAATGCAGTTCATAGCATTAAACATTTGGATTTTTATATTTTGACATATTTCAGTTATTTTTTGCATATGTGTGTTATATGGAGATACGCATCAAAACACAAATATATTCATATTAATACTGGGATTGACTGAAAACATCTTTTCCAAGCTCTAATGTACATTTGGTCAGCTGAGGAGAGGGCATTACACTTGCCTTGGTGACATCTTAGAAAGCATTCAATTTGGTGTGCAAGTGTGCAGATACACTGTAAATATGATCACATCAAAACAGGGAAATTACAAATGAAGACTGGGTTCTCTCTGCAGGTGAGTTAAAAAAGAAGCTATTTGAGAATTTAACATACATTTTTAGCTTTAAGGTGACAACAGTACAAACTGAACTAAGATGAATGGGCTTTATATTTAGAACTGTCTATTCTCATCATGTTAGATAGAGATTTTTATGAACAGGACTCGGTAGCATGCCCATGAAAGAAAAAGAAGACCTTTTGCATTATGAAAAAAATATGTCAGCTGGAATCATCTTTTGAGCTACACAACACTGAAGATGCCGCACACCCTTGACAGGAGAGAAAGAGGTGTGGAAAGATGGAAAACCCTGAGAACTCGCCTTCTTTCTACACTCCGCTGTCCCCGGTGAGGCTGACGCTGGAAAGGCCACTGCTTTTTAGACAGTCACAGAAACACTTCTCTCTGACATGATAGCAAGAGACAAGAAACACTGATGGGAAGCTTCATTCACTGACGAAGCTTCATTGATCGGAGAAAATGTAAAGGCTCTTCAAGAAGCGCACAGATATTCCCAGACTAGTGAAAATATCCCAGCCAAGCAAATACTTTTGTCAGATTACTTTTCATCTTTTCTAAAAGGTTATCTGTCATCAGCTAGCTTACTGCGTCCCCTGTTGAGACCCTGACAGTCCACTGAGATATCATAGATATCTGGTTTTGTGAGCGAGCCAGGAGATTGGCCACCATGCGCGTCTTTGGTTTTTAATAAGCTTTTTGACATTTGACCTTTTATAAACTGAGTTTCGGTACATATTAGACACAATATATTTGCTGCGGATGTGGATTTACTGGACTTTTGAGAGCTGTGCAGCTCTGCAGAGGAAGAAATGTGAATTATTTTTAGCAGATGTCCGCTAAAACTGCTGACAATGAACAGAAATGTGTAACAATAGATTCTTGCTGGCTCGGCCTCAAGAATGATTCATCACAACAACAAAAAAAAAAAGACCTACTTTTACATACATTTCTGTCGATTGCTATTTTGCAAGAAAAAAAAAAAGGGATGACTATTTTGTGTGTTTACTGGCGCGTAACATACTAATATCACAACACAGAGATAAATATCGTCTGTGAAAATATAATACACAGGCCAGCAAGTCCAATCTCAGCAGTTAGGTTGTTTTATGTATCTGGACAAGTTCAATACACTGCTGTGTGCTGATGCAATTAGATGGAGTGTAGTGTAACCTCAAGGCAACCCCTCTGGTCAGATGGTGCTGTAACATTTATACAGTGTGCCTGGTTAGAAAAAAAAAAAATCAGCTCAAAAGGACCTACAGTACGGGACTGCACTGGAGCTTCCTGTCCCTGATTGCAGGCTTAAAACCTTGTTGAAGCCACTTTATGAGGAGCACCACTCAGTCCTCATTGTACAACCAATTTTAAAAAATGTTGATTTCTATTTTGGATGCAATTACAGTCCACATTTTTTTCCCCATCATTTTTTAAATTAACTGTGTATGATTTCTCAGATTTCTTTTTAACAATGCTTGTTTTATTTGGTGTAAAATAACCAAACCCAAACATTTCTTATAGAATGCAAACGTTAGTGCCAAAGGGAGGAATAAAAGTTGCCATTTCGTCCCTGAGTGGTTGCATTTAAAAACTCCTACTCTGAACTTGGTGCCAGGCGCAGTGCTGTCTCCTGAAAAGAATATATATAGAGGTGGAATAAAACATTACATTACATGCAGTTTATGCAAATAGAAACCTACTGCATCCCTTTGTAGATAATTATATAAACCCAATGTATCTAGACATAGACATCAGAAATAAAAGATTCTTGTCTGGGAAAAAAGGGAGAAAACAGAAGCTGTTTTACAACAGATCACAAGAAGCACTGAACCCAGCATACTGCATGTTGTGAACAGCAGTCCATCAGTTGTTTTTCTCCCACATGCTATTGGATTCCTAGCAGCTGAGCTGCTACATTTGGGGATTAAAGATATTTTAATGGTTGTTCTTGAAGGAGACTGTTTACTTTTCCCACCTGATTTCCCAGCAAGCCATGGGAATCAAATCAGTAGCTTTACATTGATAAACTGAAGTTAGTAAAGGCTGAGCAAATGTTGAATATCATATTGAAGAAAGACATTTATCTCAGTTCTGAGCTGAAAATGTCCATGAGTTTAAAATTTCTATTCTTACATTCATACCTAAACCTGTATACAATCTTACTGTGGCAGAAAGCAGCTTGTTGCTATAATAAGAACCTCTACAAGGGAACCACCCTAAAAATAGGTATCTAATACCCACTGGTTTACTGTTAAAGCAAGAACACACAAACAAATCATTAGCGAGTTTCAGCTGACACAGAAACTGCAGTAGAGGTTGCTTGGGGCAGTTAAGGTTTTTCAGGACGATCAAACAAATATGTCAATTTGAGTGTTTTTTTTTTTTTTTTCTCCTGTAAGTCAACTTACAACAACCTGGATAGTTGCATCAATCTCATCCACACTTGTGAATTATATGCTATTTCAGATGGGTAGCTATACAGGAATGACGTCCCCTTTAATGTACAAAGCTCTTGTTTCTCCAACTCATAAAAACAGATGTCGGTAAGCACAATGCCACAATTATTTAAATCACTGAACAAATCAGAGATGTGGGGTGATTCAGAGGCTTGTTCATCACAGCTATGATTAACTGTCCTTTAAACATGTCCCTGAATTCAAAGCTTCAAATGCAAGCTGGCCTGCCAAAAACAATACAAAAACATCAGTGCAGATACAAGATCTGTAAGCAAGATGTTGCACCAATGCAGTCCACAGACAATGACACACTGGACAGAGGGGTTGCCATCGGGTCTGGCAGCAGTGGTGCTTTCCAGACAACATTAGGAGTAAGTTATTTCTCACCACAGAGAACATTACTGTTTGTCAAAACCCGAACATTCCTAATGTACAAAAGCCATTGTGAACAGTGGCATATTCTCTTTCACAATAAAAATGTCCCTGATCTTTAGTGACATGAAAGCCAAAGCAAAATCCTCCATTCAATTTTTTGAAGGAAAATATTTTCTTTCACTTCTGAGATATGAATAAAACATTAAATTGACATTCTGCCAATGCAACAAGTAGATATTAGAATGACAAATTAGCTTGAAGAGCAGGAGTTCAAATGAATAATTTATCTGTACAAACACTGCATACTCAAGTCTCTATGAAAGAATTTTAATTGTCTTAAATTGCTTTGCTTTAAAAGGGCAATGTCTATATAATGAAACTCCGGATCACCGCTCTTTGTGTGAAAACAGTTAATTATTAATATGCCTGTCATGAATGTGAACTTGACTAATAGCTGGGTATAATGTGAGGCTACATGGAGGAAATGGAAAACAGGTCACACAACAAAGGAAAGCAGGTAAGGTGTTGGGCTCTGACCCATGAGATGTTAAAATGATGTAAACTGGAAGGAAATGTTTTCAAAAGTGTCTCATTGTGCCAGAAATGTCCTTCTAATATAACTTAACATGGCACTCTCTGTCTGTTGGTCTTCGGTCCAGAAATTGAACACGTTTGCAAAGTTTTTGTTACGTGCTGTCTGAATCTGAATGTACCATGGTTTGGCCTGAAATACAATGATACTGGAGTCTTTGCATGACTGATTTTTGGCACCTGACTACACTGCAGCCTTGGACAGTCCAATTTTCTGTTAATGAGAGAATGGGAATGTGTTTGTCAGCTGAAATGTCTGAGTGTTTTAAAAAGCTCACAATAGAATACCTCTTGAGTTGAGACAAACAGGCTTTTCAGAATCAATAAACATAACTCACCTGCAAAATTCAGACGACGGATGTGCTTCAGCAGATGAGTGCCGTTGATAGGATCCATTTTAGCGCAGAGGCCCACTTTCCCTGGGCAGAGCTCCTGGTGCATGTTGTGCAGGGCATGGGCCATCGCGTAAACGGCATCAATAACAAACTGCACCTTTCCTTCCTGCTCATAATTCGAGTCCTTTCCTATCCGCTCCTGATCTGTAAGACACAGACATATAGAAATTAGACACATCACATGCATGTGTGTGTTATTTCGTTCATTAGTTATATGCATTTAAATTATGGAAGCTGCTTCCTCTGTGGTCTCACATTTAGCTCACTGTTAACCATGTCAAGTGCGAGGCTGAGTCAGACATTAGCATCCATGTTCAGTAATCGTGAGGGGGACTGAAAAGGATTTCACAAGTGGGTTCAAAATAATCAGGAAAAAGATGTGTAATTCAGCTACATCATGTGATCAAGAAAAATGTATTCACTTAAAAGACTTGAGTGGTTTCTGTGAGTGGGTCCAGCTTAAAGAATTATCTACTTGTGCCTTTGCCCCTGACCCTTGTTTGAAGGAGGCTGACAGTGAAGCAGCGTATTTAGTGCCTGGTCCAGACATCTAATATGCATAATAGTACCCTTAAAAAGTTTTTGAAAAGATCCATCTCAATTATGGAATTACTTGAAGATGCCGCTTCCCTTTGCCAACGGTCACTAAAAGTTATCTTTTCAACACTTCTCTCCTGTCTCGCCACTGCTTGGGAGGGCAGCTCAGACTGGACCGGACAGCTCTGTGCAAACCACGTGGAATGAGCTGAAACTTTTAAATGGAGGGTGTGGCATCAGTCCAAACAGCAGAGAAGAAAAGCCTCAGCCAGTCTTATTCTTTCTGAGCTGAATGGGTCTTGCCTCTTGCAATTAGCCAGAAGGTAAATATCTGGATTGCTGTAGAGGAGCAAATCAATTCCAATATCTGGAGTGCAAGGTTTTCTCCTCTGGGAAATCTCATCAGTTAAAAAACAAAAACTCTTTCTTGTCTGTCCAGCTGGAACTCGTGGACCTCCCTCTGAGTGATTTTGCAAACATTAAGTCTTGGGCCTACTGTATATGTCTATGCCATAGACTAATACCTATATGCCTCGTGCCATTTTCTATTAGAAACTTAAAAAAAAATGATTATAGTATGATCCCATTCGATCGAGTCTGAGAATCCCGACCCGTTTGACTGAGTGTCCAAATGTGAACTCAGTCTATATTGCCTGAATGTATTTAGACGCCAATACACTGAGGAATGAGAGAAGCAGGAAATGGAGACATCCATTCACAGGACAAGGGATAATCCGCTCACAGGCTCAATGTAATAACTTGCGATAGGAGTTTATTAATCCCGGCCCAGGTTGTTCCATAGGTTTTTGTGATTGTTAATTACTACGAGGAGGCGGGTTCTGAGAGGCAGATACAACATGCCAATCCCAACTTCCCCTTTCTCCTCATGAGCACCAAACCTTAAAGCTCTGCTGCATGTGCACAAGTGATTATAAAAAGCAGGTGTGTTCAATTTAGATTAACAATAGACTAATTTTCCAGGGATGAGCTAATGATAGAGCTGCATATATTTATATACCTGCTAAATGGAATTCAGTTAAGCTTTTGCAAGTTAACAAGCGCACAGTGGGGAATCTGCCACTGTAAATGTTCAAATAATGGCTATACCGTTGGGTAAAAATCGCCCGATGGACTGTAGATCTCTTTATCTGAATCACTTGCCACCATATTTAGTAAAAGTGTGAAATAGTGTGGTCAAAATTGTTAAAATTACATAATGGATGAGCATGTCAGATGTCTTTGGATAATGTATAGGGAAGGTAGAATGTTTTTTTTTCTGTATTTTTTTTGTTCATGATTGATTTTCCTCTCCTAACAAAGCAAAATCCAGATTTCTACTATGAAGGGTTTTTGATACACCAGCACTTTTAGTAATAATGAATAATAAAAACCAAAGCAAACACAATCAGCCATTCACTTTGATGTCGGGATCACTATCTAATCTAACATGCAGTATGTACATGTGGTGAAACTCATACTTCTATCTGCTGGCTACAGTTTGGACTCCCGCAGTAGCACACACTATGGCAAAGTAGTTTTTTCACTGACATGCAGCACAATGCAAAGTCAACAGTAAAAAAAAAAAAAAAGAATTAAAATGTATGCTGTATTTTCTTAAGGATTGATACATCATTGCCGATTCATCTTGTTGAATAACACTGATACAGAGGCCAAATACTGAATGAAATAAGATGACAAGCAGGACACATCTACTGTAAATACATGTTTGAGTCTTACCTAATGACCTTGTTGATGTTTCCAAAAAAATGGCAGGTGTGTAATTGCCATAAATAGCCTTATACATTTCCCAAGGTGTGATATTAAGTTATTTAACTTTCATATTTTGAACATTTTTGTGGAAATAGTGTCATTTTCTGGCCCAGACCTTCATAAAATAATTGAATTTGCAAATATAAAAAAAAAAAAAAAAAATTCAGATAGTTATGGTTTAGGATTTTCTATCCACTATCAGTGTATTGGACCAAGCTGATATTATATTTGTTTCTGGCCTTGGTGTATATACATGCTCAATGACCATTACAATGATTATAAGATCATGAACAACGTAACCTGATCAATATTAAACTCTGCTTCTCCAAAAAGAAATATCAATCATTTATAGTCTACTGCATGTGGTCAATGTCACTACTTATTAGCGACTGTTAATGTTGTGGACATGTGAATACTACTGATCCATAACCACACATTTTGTAACAGAACAGTCATTTATCATGCAACATCTGTCCTCTTAAGGTTCAAGCAATTTTCAATAGACACTTCAGTCTGAAAGTGTGCTAGCCCTCAAATCAACAGAGGTCTCCTGTCAGCCATCTTTCATTTGCTACATCTCCAGCAGACCAGAGGCAGTTTAATGTCCCTGATTATCTCATGAGCTTTTGAAATGCATGAATTATTGTTGGAGGTTACGGCTCAGTAATTAAGGGCCACAGGGCCTTGATTGGACAGAGATTGTCACAGTTTGGCCGACATGCTTATGCCACAGGGAATCCTGCGAGCCAGAGTGGGTTTGAGAGTGATATTTCTCTTGCAGGCTTGGCAGGCCACCCACACTAACTTTGTATTGTCTCCTCTCCATAAGACCATTTCCCTTTTTCCCTCCACCTCTCTCTCTCTCTCTTTAGCTCCCCCCTCATTGGCATTTTGGCTCTCTCACACACATTTTCCAGGCTGGCGTTTTGTTTTCAGAGAAATCCATTCAGATTAAGCAAAGCAGAAGCAAAGTGTGGGTGTCTTCCACTCTGAAGTGTCACACAAGACATTTTGTGACACTGTGTGTGGGCCCAGAACCTTTAACCTTTCTTTTAGGTTGTGTCTGGCCACAGGCCATCCAGTCTTTTCCTGCCAAGGCGATGGGGCTGGCGCTATGTGTGCTGCTCTTCATTACATATTTTGGCATATATCTTCTTATATGTGAAATTACAACTAAAGCATTTATTCACTTTTTCTTTTTCTTCTTATTTTTTTTTTGCCACGACAAATAATTATATTTGCTGTTAATCTGTTAACTATGCTTTTCATTAAGTGATGATAAAAGACATAAAACAAAGAAAATCAGCAAATCCTTTGAGAAGCTGGAATCAGCTAGTGACCACATATTTTAGGGCAAAGGGATTTATCATTTTTATATCAAAATTGTGATTTTAAAGAGATCAATAAAAGCCACAATTTAAATTATGACTTACAACATTTTATGTGTTTACAAGCTGTCTAAGGTTTATGAATAGTTTAGTTGCCGGTTGTTGACTTTATCAGCTATATAAAGACTGTAGCCAGCAAATTCAGTCGGCCGTACTTAATGAACATCAGCTCTGTAAGCTGGCCAAACTACAACATGAAAATCTTCACTGTTGTCTGGTTTATATGCTCTCTGCTCCCTGTCTGTTCTACTTCACCCCAGCCATGGACGGTTTCCTCAGTTAAAAAAAAAAAACACCACTTTGTATGGTTTTGATGTCTGGAAAGACACACTGGAGAGTGGACTGTGTGTTTTTGTTCTTCAAAAAGTCCAGAGTGTGAGTCCTTATCTATGTGAAGGATCTAGGTAGCAGGATCATGCTAGAAAGAGGAAAGTAGTTGAAAGCTCCCAATTAAATTTCCAGCTAATTAGACTTAACCAGTAAAACAGCTACTTTAAACTGATTATTAGTGCAGCTTTAAAAACATGTTTTTTCCTTTGTTTTCTTTTTGTCTTCATGTATAAATGTAAAATTTGATGATGTCTGGTATAAACTTGCATCCCCCTGGCCTCCTGCAACCCTGAGCAGGATAAGTGCTTTAAAAAGTAGATACTTCGATGAAAAAGCTCGGCATATGCTTGCTTTATCTGTATATCGCTGTATTTCCTGCTGCTTCCAAACATCGCTTACAGTATTCACAGGAGAAATAAGAAGCCTTTACTATGGGTCTCTGCTCTACCTTACCTCTCTTTTCCACATTAATCAATATCAGTTTTACATCTCCTTCATTCACAGATAAAAGACAAGTCTCACTTTTTTTTTTCCCTCAGTCACTCATGTCCTCCTTATCCTTTGATCACGCTGAGCAGTCTACCCTCTCAGGACACCGATGATTCTGCAGCATGCCCCATGTGGTTCTCTCACAGCTGCCTCAGAGGCACGGCGGGGCACTCCACCAGTGGAGAGGCGCCATGAGTGTCACACTTTAACCTCAAACAAATGCTGTGAGACTCCCTGCCCATGAAGCAGAGCCGAGAGTGAAGTTCAACATTAAAAATGTCTGTAATGAGCACTGTGAGTGACAAAAGAGATACTCACCGCTCTATCCACACAACCACATTCACTTCTCCAACAGTCAGATTCGTTATATTGCTTTTTAAAGATTTAAATCTTACTTAAAACCTAAAGTTGGATGCATGTAAATGTAAATTTTTATTTTTATGTTTTGCTAACATGTCTATTACCTATAAATATATTTGAGAATTTTGCTACATCAACCTGATTTAACTGAGTTAACTTAATTTCATCTTTTAGACTAATATAGATTCTTGTAAATATTCCTTTAACCTTCCATATTATTACTCCAGGGGCAGATGCATAAAAGTCTCTTCAGATTCAAGAATAGAAGCT